TTGTGTTTGTTTTGGTTTAAATAACATAAATAATGAAACAACAGCAGTGGCTACTACACCACCTACGGTAAACCACAATGTGTAATTATTTTTATGGTGCCTGGCTAAGGCGTCTTTTCTACCAGCTTCAACTCTTTTTTTGTTCTTCTTTGTGACATGCGTCACTGGCTCCGTCTTCGGTGTTTCCTCCTCTGGAATCTTGGTTATATCTTCCTGGGTAGTATCCATCTTGTATATTATTATTATTTTTTTTTTCCTCTTTAAATTGACAATGCTTTGCTGTGATAATCGCCGCCGTCACCGGGGCTAAAAACATCCCGTATTTGTGGTACAGCACGCAACTGATAGAGCTCAAGGCGTGTTCAATAAACGGGTCTTTCTCTAGGTCCTCCCACAAATAGAGTCGACGTTCCGGTGGGATGGGTAAAAATAATGACGCTATACCTGTGTAAATCTGGGTAATAGTAGAACCTATAACTTTTGTCATCTCAGCCCCGAGTTGTGACTCATACCTAGCGTATAATTTATTTATTTCCTCATCTGACATTTTCTGAATTTTATCAGCAGTTATATTATCTCCTAAATATTGTTTTGCCTTACCACCCACAACTAGTGTTACCAGTCTGTCTCGCTGCTTGTCGTCCTTTCGTTCATCTGAAACTAACATCTGTTCTAGTAATTCATCACAATCCATTTTATAATATAGTAATCTAGTTTTAATTTTTTTTTTAAATAATAACCAACCCACACTAAATACAGAGAGATAAAGGTTAGGTTACACACGACTATAACTTCAAAAACAGACATTTATACTAAAACTTACTAAAATTACTAAAACATTACTAAAATTTACTAAAAATTACTAAAACATTACTAAAATTTACTAAAAATTACTAAACTATTACTTGGTAATCCACTGGTTGGTCGGTTTTCAACACGAGCATAGCATGTTTAGTTTTGTCGAGCTGTTTCTTAACCCGTTCCCGGTCTAGTTTACTCATCACATCGTTCTCTCTCTCAAGCATTCCTCGAACGAATCCCTGTCCTTGCAGTGAAATAGAGCTACCCATAGCGTCTGTTCACGTAAATCCTTTAACACAGAGTTGAATTTTTGTGTCAGCACCCAGACGCTATGTTCTGCGTGTCGACCTGAAAACGCTAGGTAGGACAGCATATCTCTCTTTCTCGTTATCTCTCTATTAGCGCTGCAGTCATCCAGGATGAATAGCGTCGGCTTCCCTTTAAATTTGTTGTGATAAACTTTCAAATAGTCCTGCAGGTGTGTTCCCGGATCGATTTTATATACATCGGGATCCGTCATCACCCAAGATCTATCCGTGTAAGTCTTGTTCATATTTATAGTAGGACATAAGATAATGATATTGTCAAATACGTCTTTATAGTACCCCTCCAACAAATCCAGTACGAAAAATGTCTTGCCACAACCCGTCAGCCCACATATTATGGCGCAGTGCGGATCTCGTGGTAAATTAATAGATTGCTTGCACAAATCTCCCATTCTCTATATTAAGTTGCGCGTCCATAATTACATATAAATATAATTTTAATTTACCAGTTGGTTGAGCCTTCTTCATTATTTGAATGGTTATACCCTCGCTTCCGTTGTCGATGCGACGACCACTACCGTGAAGAGTGTCGTCATCTGTCGATCTCATATCCAACCATAACGCGTACTTTGTGGTTAGGTAATCCCCGATATGCACGGAGGATAGATCCAGGTCATTGACTACGTCGTTGACTATTGAGTTTCGTTTGATAGCCGGTAGCTTCATAATTTCATCCCACTGCTGATAGCCTTCATTCCATGGCTAAATAGCTGATTAGGCACTCCCTCTGTGGTCACTTCCACTTTGGTGATCCCTGGGTAGAAAAATTTCTCGCTGTCTCTTTCGAATGGATCGTATTCCTCCACGGGTATGATTAATATACCTTTCATCGATCGCGCCGGCACCTTCATGTTCATATTCCATACCGTATCGCTCTTGTCACGTAATATCATTCTATGTCGCAGTATCCTATTGTACAGGATGGTCATTTTCCCAAAGTACTGATTTCGAATCTGCCGGGCGAGATCAGGATTAGTCACCATGTCGAACTCCAACGAGATGTTATCGATCTCGTAACTACCCTCTTCACTATGGTGGCTGATTAGGGCCATCGCTTTCTCGCCTTAAAATTCGGAGGCGAGAAAGCGATATCACAAGACAAGAAAGCGATAACACGAGACGAGAAAGCGATAGCACGAGACGAGAAATCGATAACGCGAGACGAGAAAGCGATAACGCGAGACAAGAAAGCGATAGCACGAGACGAGAAAGCGATACCATTACGCGAGAAAGCGATAGAGCAAGAAAGCGATAGAGCGAGAAAGCGATAGAGCGAGAAAGCGATAGAGCAAAAAAGCGATATACCAAGGCGAGAAAGTGATAGAGCAAGAAAGCGATAGAGAGAGAAAGCGATAGACCGAGAACATACATTTTATTGAATTGAAGTTAATGCCTGAGAAATTATCAGAAAAACAATTGGAAACTATTTTATAACAGTTATATAAACAATGGTAAGTCATCACCCCAATGTAACACTCGGTGATCTAGGAGACACAAAGCGGTTCAATTTACCTGATGAGGAAGACACCCCGTACCTACTATACTATAAAGACGACGTATACGAACGAATGCCACTAGCAGATTTTTCAGAGCTTGAATGGTTAATTAAAATAACACTAACCTCACCTTACATCTTTTTTAATCAAAATGATTTCGTTTTCAAAATTACAAACAACGGGATTGTTCTTACGTCCTTTAATCCCTTCAAAGAAAATACTGTTCAAGTATTACGAATACCAGGGCACACTGGTAACATGTTAGCTCCAGTCGGCTTGAATGCCAGTTTATTCATTCACAGCATTTACGATTACCAACGTGATTTTTTTTCAGACTCAAATTATGGTATAAAATCACACACCACGCTAGTTATAGACGTATATCTCGCAGAGATGTCCAGTCCAAGAATACTTTTAGACGGCCTGAGAATAATTTGGTTTAAAAGACACGAGAATAAACGTTGCCGAATCATAATAAGACAAGGTTATAAACCATTAATAAGCCTAGATGGGGTTCGTATTTTAGACGAAAACATACCTATTAATGTCTCACCCATTTACCTGTACAATAATCTAAACCTTATAAGCCTCAAATATATTAATCAAAAATTAAATGACATATAATTAAAAAATAATTTATAAAATATATTATAAACACATAAAATGGGGCTTCTATACCCAGTCTTTGATGATGAAGGAAATATAAAGGGAAGCGTAGAAGGGTTTCGACTTAAACAGATATGTGAAATAAAACGTCAGCTAGAACAAGACCGTGATATTCGGGCATCACTACACAAAAAATACAATAGAGCTTTAAACTACATGGATTGGGCTGATACCACTCTTATGGCAACTAGCATGGGATTAGGAGCAGTAGGAGTTGGATTGTTGACCACCATCGTAGCCGCACCAGTGGTGTTAGGCCTTGAAATAACAGCTGTAGTGACAGGAATAGCTGGGTCAGTGTTTAAATTTGTATCTCGCAAATTGAATCGTAAAGCTAAGAAACACGATGAAATTAGAATTCTTGCTGAAGCAAAGTTAAACACTATAGAAGACCATATTTCCACCGCACTCAATGATAAAAAAATCTCAGAGGAAGAGTTTCGTTTGATCCTATGTGAACTCGAAAAATATAACAAAATGAAAGAAGAGATTCGATCAAAGTTTCATCAAAAAAGTTCTGCTATCGGCGAGAACGAGGAAAAAAAATACATAAACCAAGGGATACAACAAGCCAAACAAGCATTTATTACGAAAACCAAAGACATCATAGAAGATACACGTTAAATTGTTTTGCTGAAGTCAATATTTTAAATTGATGTGATCTTATGGGTTTACAAATTGAGGAATAGATACTTATTGATTGCTTGCCTTATATATGGTGACCCCATACACCATAGTCTTACTCTTTCGAGTAAGATTATGGTTATTTTTTATCACCACTGTAAAAGGTAGCCATAGTCTTACTCTTTCGAGTAAGACTATGACTACTTTACAGGGAGATAAAAAGTAGTTGTGTTATGGGTTTATAAATAAATATGAGTTAGGAATGTATACTTATTGATTCCTTGCCTTATATGGGCTGGTCCCGTACCACATAGTCTTACTAGAAAGACTGTGGCTACTTTTTTTTACAGGGGAGATGAAAAGTAGTTGTGTTATGGATTTATAAATTAATATGAGTTAGGAATAGATACTTATTGATTCCTTGCCTTATATAGGCTGGTCCCGTACCCCCATTGTTTATACTACTGGAAGACATCACAACACAGGAGAACCAACTCATCTTTCTGTGGTGACCGAGAAGGGACATCGCTGTATCGCTTTCAGTATATAGCGATAACACTGGAAGATGGAGCGATGAGACGGGAAATGACGAGACGAGAAAGACATAACACGACACGACAAAGCCATGTATAACTACCATTTTGAGTGAGTGAGTATGGTTTTACGCCACTTTTAGTAATATTCCAGCAATATCATGGCGGGGGACACAAGAAATGGGCTTCACACATTGTACCATGTGGGGAATCGAACCATACCATTTTGAAACAGCATAGCATAGTGGTAGTTTTCCGTTAGTGAAACAAAATATGAATTCGGGTAAATGGCATTGTTCACTGGGTAGAAAGATCAATTGTGCTATTTAGCTCATATTTTACTTATATACATGAACAATACCTATTTACCTAGTACAGTACATTCTAAAGGGATACTGATAATAATGATAGGACGGGGAGTATACCCAGAGAGCCGAATAGCTGGAAGGTTATGTTACATCCTGCAATATTATTCAGTATATTTGCAGGCCTCTACAGGACGTTCCTAGCATGCCTTTGCTAGTGTTTTGGCCTAATGGTCAATGCTCACGTACCTTCTGGTCTCCGTCGTCAAGACGTGTGGCGGCACTGGGCAGTGTTATTGCAGTTTCAACGCTAAATAGAAATAGGTTTAACTTTTCTCCAAGGTAATTCGCAGGTAAATCCCTGTCATTTCATTGGTTGGCCACGTAATTCATATTGCGTACATATTCCCATCAATTAAAAAAATACCGGTCTTCTCTGTCCTGATTCTAAATTGGCTATGTGTTGTGCCCCTAAACCTACAATGGTCTTAAGTGCACAGAAATCATGAATATTCATGAGTGGGCGGAGCTTATGTCACTACGTCACATACACGGCACAGTATCTTCCGCGGAACTAGTAGAGGGAGTTGACCAACGCTTCTTCGTCTGTTATTGCCTTATACAATGTGACAGCTACAACATGCATATGAGGTATATGTAAACATATCCTATACAGTCAAGACATAACCCTGCATCGCGCATCGCGGCTCTCGGCTACACATTCGAAGTATTGGGAATATTTCTGTTATCAAAATTAAATGTCAAAATGACAAAATGAAGGTTTTATTTTGAAACTGGTACACATCGCTCCATTCCTGAAAAGTAATGGAGCGAACAGACAATGGAATGACGTCACAAATGTAATTTAACCTGCGCTCAGCACTGCAAGGCACAGGTCTTTGTGAAGGCAGCCGTGCGGCACGGCAGTTGTGATACGTGTGTTTGTTTGTTAAATCAGTCTGTGTACTATCCTCTTTACAGGACGGTGGAGAATATGGCTCAGTTCGTGTGGAATCAAATGGCCGCCCGCCTCCCTGACAAGATGTACGCGAGACTAAGACGAAGATTCTGCTGCGTATTACGGCTAATATTCACCCGTATAAGGAGTAAGCATTAGTCTGAATGTGTTCCGTATAATAAATAACCTGACATGCATATATTCTATCTCTGCCCCTTATAATGCCTAGCTGAATGGCTCCGGACATCAGTTTCTTGGTTAAATCGACTACAAATATAACGATTCGTTATTCTTTTATGGTCATCTTTAACGACTCAAGGTTACTACCCTCCCTTCCTGATATCGCGTGGCCGTCATCCTCGACATATACAGCTTAATTCAAACAAATATCATCAAAAAATAATATCATCGTTATTTGTTCTTGGTGTTTTCCATGGAGGCTGTCAACCACACTCAGAAGTTTCACAGAGAGTCAATGTCGGAAAACCTTTCCCCTGGCATCATACAACATGTCAACATTCAGGAGGTTTAGGATCCCCACCAGGTTTATAGCTGACAGTGACTGAATGTCCGTCACAGCAGGTGGTCCAACAGGCACACTGCGACTTCACGCTTAATAAAGTGAATATTTATTGTAACGGTTTCTGACTACAGCGATCGGACACATCAGAAACTTACTGGAAACACTCTGTAAACTGGGGACGCAGTCAGTGTTTGCGATACTTTAGTTTGCCAGTTGGCCACCAGGGCCTGCTGCCGCCTCCAGGCTTTAAAATCTACGGGCCATGAATGAAATCTGCAGGCCTGTTTTGTTAAAATCATACCAATTAAAACAAAATAGACTACACTGTACACAATTTCACACGGTTTCTACAAAATCAGTTAGCGAAACCCTAAGAAGCAGAGAGAACTTGACATCCCTATGCACAAACCAGGAAGTGAAACTGTACGTTATCGTAACATGATGGATCATGGATGGTTCCCGAACGTTAATAAAGAAAGAAATTATGGAAAGATTCCAGTTGAAAAAATGACAGATAATTTACTGAAGGCCACAAGGGCCTGCAAATATTTGAAACTGCCGGACAGATACAATAACAACCGGCCCGGAGGCCCAGCGATTATTTCGAACGTTGGACGCAGTGAATTTCTATCCATGCACGTTCACAGATCTCCCCTATGATTCTTTCCTCGTTTTTTCCCACGTCCCTTTCAGTGATTAATAACTTATTTTGACAAATATACATGGCCAGTTGGTCCCTTCCCATAACATTTTCCTGATTTAGTAACTCAACAACTACATAATTATCAAATACCAATTACCTAACCTCCGATTCCTATTTAAACAACTACATTATGACCTAGTACCACTTAGTAAACCACTGATTCGTAAAGTAAACAGCTACATGGTGAATACAAAGTTGGCATCTTGTTCTCTTCTCTACAGCTATATTTTCATTTTCTTATCAACCTTTGCGTGGCTCGGACCGTGTCTCCTGTTTAACGGTATTTATATCAAGCTGCATCATCGTTCAACTTCAACTGGCGATATGTTCGCTCCGTTTGACTCTTATTAGATACATATGGCTACACGATAATTCATATTCTTTTCAAAGTTATCGTTGGTACATCCAAGTCCCGCACCATTTCATATTTAATTATTTTAATTTAAGTGTTTGTTGTTTAACGCCGCACTCGGCAATATTCCAGCTATATGGCGGCATGAATATAACTGGACATCCAACGCCTGGTTAAATCGGTGACGTAGGTGAAACACCCGGATGAATCAGACCTGAGCAGGAGTGGTCACTCGTGGTCTTCCACTTCATATTGAGACAGAGATGAAAAATTATGTCACATGGATGAGAGTTATCTCCCCTCGGTCGCTCCTGACAAATATGGCGGCGAAAGAAATAAGCAGACGTCTGCGTCAAAGACAAATTATAAATATCGACGGATCAAAAGTCAATTCTTACAGGTAAATAAGCTTAACATCTAACAACAACCTACGTTTTGTTTTAATTGATGTTTTACTCTGATATAAGCATTATTTGGTAGAAACGTTAATAAAGATTCCACGTGGGACGGCACGTTGCAAACTCACCGGTGACGCCTGAATTTGTACCCCGTGAAACTTAGTAAAGTAGTTTCAACTTATTTAATTTTAGTTGGGGAAAAATACATCTTCAATTTATTTTTGTATCATTACTACACATGAGATTAAACGTTATTTAAAAAAAACATTCTTCCTTTACATCCAGATCCTGATTGACAGATTTATCATTTACAGAGACTTGGCTGATGGCGTAGACTTGTAGGTAAGGCCAGTACCTCCAGTCAAAAAGAAACATGGACACCTGGGTTGTATCCCATTAGAATTATCGACCGACCAAGGACAGGATTTTGCCGGGTTCATTACATTGGTATCTAATTGAATGACATAACCTAGTGAGTTAGTGGTAAAGTGTAGAATTTCTACAAAACACTAGTACCGATTTATTCAGCGTTTGTGTAATGATAGTTTAACTAAGTTCTGCTGGGACCAGCACTAAGGTCCGAACTGTAAAGAAAACCGAATTACCCAAGGTCCGAATATGACAGATTCCACTGTATTTTGTTTGAAGATGTTTGGAACTTCTAAAACGTATACTTTATCCGACAGATATTTGTAAACTGTGTTTCTGAAACTGAATTTCTGCGCCCAAAATGGGCCTTTGTGTTTAGTATTTTTTTAAATCACAATAAAAAATCACAAAATATTTTCTTACACACAAAACTTAAAGAGATTTACTTTTCAGGATGGAGCACTTCATATGACGAAGTAATTATAGGGTTGAGGACATCACGTTGACACTACTCCACCAGACAGACTACCACCTTAGACAACTACAGATTGAAATAAAAGAAGCACTGAATAACTCACACACAGACGGCAAGTTGTTTATTCGAGTACCTATAACCAGTGATGATTTCGAGGTAATTAAACAGATTGGTGAGGTTTACCAGACCAGGAGAGACAGAACAGTGTACGTGATCTCCTCCAGACAATGTTTAGAGCCCATACTGGGAGTCGGGTGGGATTACAGAGTCATCAATGCTCAAGGTGATAACTTTTTTTGTCAAAACTGACACAGTCAAGTTTTGGTTTACAGTAGCGGAGGTCACTGGTTGATTTCACAGTCTTTCCAGACCACGTAGAGAGTGTTTCCTCGATAGAGGCTATCAACTTTCATTCACCTTTGTCAAAAGCCAGGAAACGTGATCCCTACTGAAAGATCTCCTCAATGCCACCAGTTTATAGTCATATAGGCAAGAGTCCAGCATGAAAGTTACAGTTTTACGTCTCATCATGGTAGTCATTTCAAAACTGACGTTATTTAACATATTGCAGAGTAACTTTTGGGAAAATCAGTTGACCAAAGAAAACATGGAATCTTTCATTAGCAAGTTAGAGGACTTGAAATTGGTGTGTCTTATATTGTCAGCGAAAGGGAAAAGGACAATATGAAATCAGAATTATTCAGACTCAGAAAACAAGCAGCAACGTGTAAAAGGAAAGGTGGAAGGCAGTTCAGACATTTTTAGCCAATCTTTCTAAAAAGAATACAAGTGGAATGTAAGTATAGATGGACATCGCAGTGAATTAAAAGTTAATGAAATAAAACAAAACTTGGAGTGCATCATTGATAATTTAAAACATGAAAACCAGCAGTTAGAAACTAAACTAGTGGAAGCACTAAAACCCGAATGTAAACTGAAAAGTAAAGGCTCCCAGACGGTCCCAGGACAGAGATCGGAAAAGGAAAATACTAGCTGACTGTACTCACTCTTATGCAAAGAAAGGAAAATTGAGCAGTGTAAGGATGCACTATCTTTTTATTTGAGAGGACAACACCAAGGTTTTGTCAATACTAATAGAAAAGGGTGGCAAACACGATGAAATTATCCTTGAAAAAGACAAAGAAATAAGGAAGACAGCTTGAATAGACTCTTGTATGTATTAGATGTGTTTAATGTAAGCAACAATGCTTATCATGAACTTACTATGCTGTTCAAAATCTTCCCAGATCTCACAAAATTAAAGAGACATATTCGCAGTTAAACAGTAACTTTATCATAAAGGAAACTCCAGACGGATTAGGATATGAACAGTCACTCCGAGAGCGGTTACATGCTGTTGTGCCAGATTTGATCATAAATGACCCGGATGCTTATATTGACGGGACATGTCTTAAAGTAAAATCTCGGCAGATGGGACACGGATCAGGAAACACTTACATGTGATAAAGCGTGGCTTTTACTATCCTTAACGATAGTAAATGTGGTTCTGCGCTGGGAAATTACCCTCTAGCCATTGTATGCACTAGGGAACGACACTA